ATAATGACAATTGGGCCTGAACACCCTGGTAGGACTTAGAGTAGAGCAGGATCTGGCCTCCATTACGAAAACAACTTCTCATCCTGCAATAGACCAACTCCTTTTGTGTGGCTTTAATATCTTTTCTTCCCTGACATTGAATATTGCTCAAGCTGGAAAATGATGCGTCTTTGTAGAGAAAGCTCGTATGTCACAACTAGAAAGTGAAGCAGACCGATTGGTTGTGTGAATTATCTGACTTGCTGCAGTGAATTATTTGCACTGTTTCCCTACCTAGTCAACAAGTTCCTGAGGTATAGTAGAGATCAATCAAAACTGACAGTCCGCGTGTGAAGGCTTTACTGTGTAAATCTGGCATACTCATCCTGGCCATGCAGGCCCTGGCATCTGTATATCATTTTTATACTGCTACCAGTAGAGCAATTTCAAAAGTATTTGCAAGGAAAATGCGTGTCCCCATCTGTTCCTGGAAGAATAAATGTGCCACCTTCAGAGGGTTTTCACTGGTAATCATATCTTTAATGATCAACAGACTAGTGATATATACCCTTCCATAAAATGGGGTTTTCTTTACTTTATTGTGATTGGCTAGAATAAATAGCTTTTCCATATGTTAGGGAGATAAAATATAAGATTAGCAGAGGTCGTTTGTTGGATAGTAAACAAAAGAAACAATTCATTTCAAATAATCTTTGAAAAGAAGAAATGACAAAATTTAAGTTGCAATAACAAAGCGTCTGAGGCCCCACATCAGGAAACAGACCTTGTTCTTCCTTGGAAAAGGGCCGTTTAAGAGCAGAAACTCAGATTCTTCTAGGAGACCCTGGTGGCTTATTGTTAGAGTCGCAGAAGGGAGAGAAGCAGGGGGAGGAAAAGAGGACTAGAATACTTGTTTGTTTTCTGTTGGAAGGTCCTATTTCCTGTCTCTTATTTTACCTGGTCTCTTGCTGCCCCGCTGCATTACCCTGGGTAAGTTGAAGGGGTGGTATGTTCTAAAGCAGGAAAATGATACTGCACTGATTTTTCCCTTGAAGACCCTTAAGAGGTTTTCCACATACTGTAAAATAAAAGTGAACTCTCTCTGCTGAAGACTTCTCTTCTTCCACAGAAAAGGGACACTTCCCAGGCTGGGCAGAGTTCCCAGCTTTAGGTGAAATTCCAAAGCTTAGGGAGAAAAGTTTTGGAACCTGCTGGAAAATGCCCAGGAAATGAATGTTCTTAGTGATAGAATTACACCTGCTTAGGTTAGAGTCCCAGCAACAATCAGGCATGCTGACTGCTATTCCCCTCTTCCCACAAACCCTGGCCCTGACTGTCTGTCCACACATGGTGGTAGAAGCCTTTTTTTTTTTTTTTTTTTTTTTTTTTTTCAGATGTACTACCTTTCAGTTCTGCGGAGCCACCTTGGTGAAATCTGGAAGCTTTTCCTTCAGGATCCCAGCTCCAGAGGTTTTCAGATGCAGTGACTGCCTGAGCAGGAATCTAACTTCATTTTGTTTCCAGAACCATTGGTTGTAAAACACAAGAATCTCATCAGTGTCCCAGCCTTCATGCCCTCAAAAAATTAGGCAGGAACTTAGTGGACTTGTGTTCCTTACAGATAAGGAATTGAGGAAGCTCCTTATAAACACTGAGGACAGACCAAATTATTAATAGGTGATATGTATTGTTACTGGTTTTTTAAATTCCCCTGTGATAGTATCTTTTTTTGGTATATCTTTTCCTGATCTGTGGTCCACAGAATTTATCCCTGTTCCCAAATGTCTGCTGCTTTTACTGCAGCAGGTGTATTAAGAGTGTGTGGATGTTAGTTTCAAAGTAAGAAAAGAAGTCTGCATGCAAGGTTCTAAGCAGAAAGTTCCAGTTAGCATTTTAGACCTAAGTTGGGTTAATTTCCAGGCCCCAGTAAAGCTTGGGAATTTTCAAGCTTCCCTGGGACCTAAAAATTAGAAGATGTGTCAGTCACCATGGAAAGATTGTAATTTATGAAAAAGACAGGCAAGCTATTATAGAAAGATTTTTAAAATTTTCCCTGAATTTTAGAAACATAATCTTATAGACGGGGTTGCACATAGGCAGGCATAGATTTACAAGTAGATCACACTTTGCTTGACCTTATACCAGCTTTATTATAGTACTATAAGTAAGACTGAAAGAAAGAGAAATTACAGTTTTTCCCAGGTTGTGTTGTGATTTGCATGCAACAAGGAAATTGTAGCATACGTTGTAATGTTTTACACTCAGTTTTAAAAATGAAGTTTCCTGGTTTCTGTGTATTTAAAATTGATACCCCTTTTTGTTGACTGTTACTTGTTTTCATAAAAGGAAAGGAAATTATAAAAAGATTCTCACTGACTTATTTCCAAGAGGTAAATCTCTTGTTTGTTCCTTTGCCTGGAAGAATAAGACTGTCACCCTATGGTTGGGACCTTTTCACATATTAACTCCGTAAGTCTCTGCCACAAGCATTGACTGTGCACATGAGAGTGGAAATCACCTG